ATATATACATATACTCAAGTATACTACTACACTATCGTAACAACGTAGGTGCCGATGAGACAATAATCGCTGCACACGACAACGAAAGATAAAAATCACACAAACATGACCATAAAAATCGTCGCCATGCGACGACGGCAGACGCGCCGCGGCCGCTACTAATGCGCGGAGGACTCCGATTCAACGGATAACGACAAGCCGTCACCACGACAACCAACGAATTCTACGCCGCCGACGAAAAACAAGAGTCTCGTAGCAAGTATTCTCTGTACAGCCGGCAGAGGGAGCCACTCGGAATTAGCTACTTATCAGTAAATCTATATTACAAATGTAATAGATTTAGATTAACTTAAATGTACGTTTTCATATTTATGTGGGTTTTTTTTATTTAAGGCCCCTTTCATAACATATGCTACAGGCCCGCACTAGTTTAATCCGGCCTTGATCCTAGCGGTTATTTTATGTGCCCACTATCGTCCGTGAATTAACAGAACAGTATCTAGCGAGTGCTGCGAACCCAGAAGATGGCAATGTGTGCCGTACGTAACCGTTGTATTACGGATGCCTATATTTGTACTGGTAATTCGGTTTAATATGTGCTTAGTCATTGGTATTAGATCTATATGGTTTCTTAGAATGGCAGGTACATAATAACACATTTAATAGATTGTTTCTATATTGTTTTCTTATGAAATAGGACATAAATAAAAGATCATGACAGTTTTTTAAATATATTTCTCCTATTTTTGTGTAGAATATTGTTTGTTTGATTTGTGATATGTCTCACTCTCCCTACCTCCCCACTCTCTCTATCTCGCAGACTCGCACGCAAGCACGCACAGAAGCACGCACGTACGCACACACACACACACACAAGCACGCACGCACGCACACACGCACAAGCACGCACACACACACATAAGCACGCACACACACACACAAGCACGCACGCGTGAACAACATAGTCTTAACGGACGGCGATTTAAAGACATTGTTTCATTCAAATCGGAAATCAGATTGAATAATCCTACATTTTATTCCAGAACAAAATTATTCACGTTACACAACTGCAAACTATACATACACGTACACATATAAATATATGTATATATATATATATATATATATCAAGAGCTAATAAATACCTAGAGTGTACAACGGGAAAACGGGAAAACAGTGCTATTTCACGGCAATATTATTCTACTTTGTATGCGTATAATAATAATAGTAACTGAGCTGCGTTGTAGAGACTTAATTATATATGGTGTAGTTTGAGTACCAAATTTGGGCATGTGACATCAATTATCAGCGCTCCAAGCGGCGACGGAAAACGATAGCCAGATCCGCAAAAGGCGAGAAGGATAGTGAATATTGTGGATGCGAGGCGCCGTGAGGCCTGTGGGAGGGGAAGTTTCCGAGCCAATATCTCAGCCTAGGAGTATCGTATTGACAAGCGGTTGGTCTTGTTTTAG